GTCTTTCTATTAGAAACAGTCTTAAAGTGAGGTTTAAAATGCTTAGCTTCTACATAAATTTCACATTTGTTAAAGCTAGTTATGTATAGTTTAGGCAGAACATTCATATTCATCAATTTCTTTAAAGCATGAATATTAACGTGTCCTAATCTAGCATGCCACATATAAACGGATTCAATAATATAAGCACAAGTGGTAGCTTTATTTTCATTAAATTGAGTTTCTATGACAAATAAACCACCGTTTAAATTACATTTCCCAACATAATCACCATTTCGGGAAAATACAAGTTTATCTACCTCAAAAACTAACTTAATGTCTGCCTTATTTAGAAGCTCACCACTTATCCAATTTCTACACAAGGCAGGTACATACATAACATTATTTAAGGCCAGAGTTTTACCAGAAGTCAGTTTGAGTAAAACCTTGCATTTTCCTAGTACTTCAAAGCTGCTAGAGTTCCCCATGTACACATGTTCACCTATGTTCCCATCCTCGAACTTGGTGAAAAGATCCTTCCTTGTGCAAAAGTGCTTCGAAGCGCCAGTGTCAACTCCCATTTTGAACTATTTTCCACCAAATTAACTTCTAAGACCACCAAAGTAATGATGTCATCATTTTTTTATACAACGTGCATCTGTGGCTTATTGTCATTCTGGCAGTCTGAGCGTTGTAAGCATTGATAAGCTTTGTGGTCGACTAAACCGCAAACATAACACTTGAGCGTCTTTCCTTTAGGTTTGGTCTTTCCAGACTTCTTGAAGTTGGTAGCCTTATGAGGTTTTGTCTTTTTGTCTTAATTTCCTCGTTTCATGATCTTCTTGAATCTAGACTCAACCAAGTTAGATCTAACATATAAATTACTCAGATAATTAGTAACATTATCTTTTAATCGATTGGTTTCTTCAATCTTCATATGGTCCACCAGCTCTTCAAGCGAAATATCTATCTTCTTATGCTTAAGAGAATTGCGGTACTCGGACCAGGACTTGGACAGATTCTCGATGAGAACATTGGCTTGAAGTACCTCACACATTTGTATCCCTTCAGCAATGATGTTAGTGACCAAGTTCTCATAGTCATGAACTTGATCCATTATCGACTTGTCATTTGTCATCTGGAACTTAAGTCATTCGCCGACAACGTACTTTTTGATGACCGCATCATCTGCACCATACTTTTTCTCCAGAGTCTCCCAAATTGCCTTGGCATTCCTTTCTCTAAGGAACATATCAAATAATTTATTTGGCAGGTGTCCTCGCACCGTTTTGTTATCCTTCTTGTATTTCTCGTAGTTAGCGAGAGCAGCGGTAACAGTTGGTAAGGCAACATCATTCAGAACCACATCCGTATCATTACTGGCAGCTGGGGTTGACAGCATGGTAGGTGGTGGCTTGAGCAGCATGTAATCGAGGTCAAGCTGCTCGAAGAATATCAGGATTCGTTGGGACCACCTTATATAATTATTTCCATCAAGTGCATCGAGCTTGGAAAGATCGAGAATCAACTTGCTCAAAAGTGATGTCATATTTGTAGTATACAAAATTATTTTCTAAATTGTAAGAAATAAGGAGTGCAAAATCACACCATTAGCATTGAAAGGAAAAGTATATAGTAATTTAAAAGAAATAAATTTGTAAATCGTGTCATGGTAAAACCACTGCCTTCGAAACGAATTCGCCCCGATGTGTGTAATCGCTTCAATAGATGGATCGTCCCTGTTGGGATTTGCGGAAGCTCGAATCGACAACCAAAAGGATTCACCTAGATGGGCCGAGTTGGTTCTTGTGTTTAACGAGTAAGGAGATTGAAAGATAGAAAATTTGCACAGCGATTTATAGTGGTTCGACTTCTCAGCCAAGTCTACATCCACTACCCTAGCTCCTCACCAAGGATTTTCTAACAAATTCACTAATTTGTTCTTTCTTTTTACAAGACAAAGAGATAACCTTTACAAACTCCCTAGTTTTTCACGGGCTAAACTAGAACCTCTCCCTAGCTTTTAGTAGGCTAAGCTAAAACCAAAACCCTTTTACAATGAAAGGAAATATAAACAAGAAAACCTCTCTAAGATAGGTGTTTACAAGAATTAAGCTCACAAGAACAAAAATATTTACAAGAGAAAGGAAAATAAGATTGAAAAAATCTTCTCTTGTGTTTGATTGCTTGGATAGGTGTTCTCCTTCTTCTTCTTCAAGTGTCCTCAGCTTGTTTTTATACCTTGAAATGAGTTTAAAGTTGTATCTAGCCGTTGGGGATTAATTTTATGCAAAGTAAGGTTGTCCAGAACTAGAAGTATTGGTACTCCACTATGGGGTATTGATACTACATTTGTTAAATTCAAATTAACTAGTTGTTACTAGCTATTGGAGCCTTGTGGTATCGATACCCTTTCATGGTATCGGTATCATTTTTGCATTCTGGAATCTGAGCCTTCATGGTAGTATCGATACTACCTTGATGGTTTCGATACTACCTTTGCCTATGGTATCGATACCATAAGAATAGTATCGGTACCATTCATGTGGTATCGATACTGAAAAGAACAATATCGGTACTACTTGTACAAAAATCAATTTTTGCTCAATTCCAATTTTAAAATGGACTTTGAATTATTTTTGAAATCTTTGAAAAACTTTGAATAAATTCAATTCAAGTCCAAAAACATTTTGCCTTAATTGTTATATCAAAACTTAGTTCTACAGTCCCCCGAGGTTAACACGGTCGCTCCAAATTGCGTACACCCGAAACCATAATGGACTGTTGGTAGTATTGCACTTCTAAGCGGAAAATCTATTGAGAGAGTGAGATGAGAAGTTGAAATCAACTCTCTATTTATAGGCTAGAAACTACTAAAACGCCTAGATGAACCTGACTCAAAAATAGTTCAGGTTATCAGTCTAGATACATCTTTCACATTTTCATTTGAATTTAAACTTTCAAAGAGAAATTTCAAAAGAATTTTCTTTAAAAATATAGTATCAGCGCGGATGTTTCAAAGGCACGTACGACCACGACCATGACCACGTGCCAAGTCGTTACGGACGGCGGCGGCGACGGTGCACGAGAGTTCCGCTTGTTCTCTTTCACTCAACAACGAAGTGGAGAATCCAAACCTTAAATACCTATTTCCAATAGTGTTTTCAACACTATGTGGGATTGAGCATTACCAACAATTAGCATCCGAAGGGTCGTCTGGAATGCTTTAGTTATCCTCGTTAGTTGTTTCTGACTGACGACTCTAGCGGAATTTTCAGTTTTTTAGAACGAGTCTTCAATCTAAATCAAACATAAAAGTACTATTATAAAAAGTAATCTAAATCATGAATTTTAAAAATATTAAACGAAGCGAGGGAGAGAATATTACAAATATTGTTACCCGAGAGTTTGTTTGTTCCTTCAAATTCAAGTCTGAAAACTAAAGAAAAATTAAAAGATTAACAAAGTCTATACGCCTTCAACATAAACGGTCATAATTGGGAATCAATACTTTAGCATATTTAAAAGAGGATCATGCTTATTTTGTGTAAATAATTTGGTGTTTAATAAAAAAATTATTGTTTTCTATTTAAAATTTAATGTAATTATTAGATAATTTATTAAACATAATGAAAAATCATTTTTACAAGTAAATTTATTTAGCTTTGCTTGTTTTTATGATTCACTTTTTTCAATAATTATTATTAGGGATCTAATTTCTATATTCGTCTCATGCCATTAAAATATCAAATAATGGTCTGACGGAGAAACAAGAGAAAATTGAGTGAATACTGTCAATGGTATTCACAAACCTAATGTAAAGAAACGAGGTGGGGGAAGGTCTCCATTTATAATTTAGTCTCATTACAATGGACGGTCTAGATGAATTTACATGAACGATTAAGATAAATCTTAAATGTTCTAAGCATTGTTTTGAAAACCGGACATGATCGGCCGGTTCAATCGGAAATCGTTATCTAGTCTGGTTCAAACTAAATCGGTTGAACCGCTACTAGTGAACTGGCCAGAACCTTTGAACCGTTCGAACCGGACCGACTGAAAACCCCGAAAAAAACCGCCAATTTTGTTTTTTTTTTTTAAATTAAACCAAACGACGTTGTTTGTTAAACGAACCAAGTCGAACTCGAGTATTGCTGAGCTCGACTCAAACTTTAAAAGTAAGCTCAACTCGACTCAAACTCACGAACTAAAAATTATCAAGTTCAACTCGAACTCGAAATATAATATTGAAACTTGAACTTGAAAAGGCTTGAACTCAAAAAAAATTTAGAAGCTCGATTGAAGCCTAAAATTCGAGCTTGATTGAAGTGAAAGAATAGTCACTCTATGCTCACCAAAAGTCTCCATGATTTTGAATGTCAAATTACCTCTATTATTTATAGAAGTTAGTTGGGATGCTCTTCTATGTTTCTTAGCCATGTGAGATTGTTTTGTTCTCATATTTTTACTCTTTAGACTTTTGGGATGTTCTTCTATGTTTTTTAGCCATGTGAAATTGTTTTTAAAAAAAAAAATTAAACCAAACAATATCATTTAGCCCCAAATTTATTTTTTAATTATAGTTATATAATTATATTTATTATTTAATATATTTTACCTTAAATATTATATTGTAGTTAATTTGAATCATTTTGTTTCACTTGATTTTATGATTTTTAACTCGTATATGTTATGATTTACTTTGAATATGACTTGTGATATACAAAATTATTTTTTATTAAATATTTTTGGTATTTTTATTTAATTTTTAAAATAATTATGACGTCGTCCGGTTCTTCCGACCGGTCGGACCGGTGAATCGATAGCATGACCGATTCATTAACCGGTTCGGTTCTAAGGAAACAATATCAAATCCAATCAAATATTATCAATTAACATATTACATTTCCTTGATTAATGATCACACTGAATATGATAAAACTCTTATCGAATATCATTGGATATGGTCACTTTCGCTCTCTCATGCTAGTGTGAACATACTCTACCATTTTCCAAGAATCGGGTCAAGTCTAATAATTTAGCCAAGTTTAACATTACATACATAATTTCTTCGACGGATATTAACACACGTCTCGATCCTGAATTCGCATGCTTACACACACAGAATACAATATGTTCCAATTACACATGAACAACAGTGAATTCAAAAAGCTTTAAAGACCCTCTATTTATCAGATTTTGGCCTCCATATCTGCCCTCCATTAATATATTGTACCTGCAATGGCCTCTGACCGCCGGGATTTACACTATAACCTTCAGTCCTTGACTTCTGAAATTGAGGTTGCACTTGCAATTGAACTTGTGAGACCAAAGGGGTCCTTTTTTGAAATTGATGGTTCGGCCCCAGTCCATTCGACACCCTTGTTTTTCCAAAATTGAGATTGCATGTTCGATGCGGGGGACACCACTTTTGGAGCTTGATGCTGCATTTGTGAGGTTGAGGGCCTTGATTTCTCGTACAGCGGCTGCCGGTGCTGCTGCTGCATTTGCAAAGGTGATTGCACTGATCGATGTGGATGTGGATGTGGATATGGATTCAGATAGTGGCTGCCGTTGCTACTTGAGTAACTAGCCGAATGGTTTACAAAAAATCGGGATATCTGTGGTCCAACCAATATAGGGAGGAGTGTACTTCGGGTCAAATTAGCTGAGATTAGCATATGACGGGTCATCTGAAATACTTCAGCTATCTTTATCAATTGTCTCTGACTGACGGCCCTAGCAGAATTTTCTGGTTGTTCGAAAGGATCTTCAACCTAAAACAAACATAAAAAAGACTATTATAGTTTTTGGTGTCTGAGCCATGAAGAATTTAAAAAATATAACACAAAAAGAGGGAGAGAATATTACAAATATTGCATACGTCCGGGGCAACCATCTCATATTGTTTTCTATGTACTCCCATTGTCCTGTAAATGGACAGATTCCCAATTCCGACGCCCTCAAATTAATGTCTGAAAACTGAAGAAATATTTAAGGATTAAACATAAATAAAGCCTACATGGTGCTCCCAAAGAGTACTAATTTTCGAAGCATATTGTCATACTACATGTTAAAGAACATTTTGACCTTCGACATTAACAATAGACGATACCTTGGCAATGAAGGAAATGAACAGCTCAGACAAAGAACTCCGGTTTATGGTCCTGCATGATCTAAACTTGACAATGTTAGACGAACATATTTGTGCAATACGTCTCTCTGCGTCATCTTTGGTACCTACAATCGCAGAGAAGCTTTTGTATCAGGAATATATCCTCTAAACATGTTTAACATTTTAATATTAACGAAAAATATAAAATGTCCGACTCAGCTTTAATCAAACACAACCAAGGTCCAACAATTGAAGAATCAAAACTTTCATTTGAAATCCTATTCCGAAACAGGGAATAAACAAAAAAAATTAAGTAGAATTTTTGGAAAAGAATATTTGGGTTACACATTCTCTATAGTTTTTGGCTTAGCTAAGACTCACCCGTAAGATCATCGACAACATTTGTTGGGTATATATCTTTTAATGGAGGTAAAATTGGAGGTACACAAGTCTGCAAGAAAAACAAAATATATGAAATGATAAACAAATATGTGAGCATCTAATATGGGTATGTACTCAAATTTGATGCATGTCAAACACATGTAATTCAAGAGAAATGAAAAGTAGAATAACAGATACAATCTACTCCACCCAAACAACATATGGATGAATTAAATAAAACAAGCCCTTCTACAACTTCTCCTATAATAGAATGAATAATAAAAGCCACCTGAAAATGGAAAATGACTAGCAAACTGAGGGAATATGAGTTAAAAGTCCCGGACTTCGGATTATTAATACCGTTAGCCTTGGCCCATTCCTTCACCTGCACGAATCGGTAACAGCAAGAATAAGAAACGAGAGATGCAGTCCTATCAACAATGGAAAGTGTTGGCTTTTAACGAGAGTTACCAGTAAAATCATGTCACGAAATCGACCATCTATCTCACAGAGCCAAAACAAGAATTTTGACTTTATTTGGCCCTGCAGATTATCGATTGAAATATCACAAGAGATGTTCTGCCATTTGCTGATGCTTTTCAAAATGGGAACTCTTGCACTGGGAATAAATTGTATACTTAACCATCCACCTGAAATAAATGTTATATCATAACTAATTAGGCATTATTTATAGCAAACAATCAAAGATGAATAATATTAATTTGCCAAAAAAAAGCTTTCTTTACTCCCCTATTATATGTTATAACAAGAACATGAAAATATGAAAATTACCTTTCTTTCTTAAAGCTTTAAGCAATTCATTGAGTATTGTCTGTTTATGCTTCTTTCCGGCAGATGAAATACATGAACCATAAGATAACTCAACAGATATATCTAAGTCTCCCCACCGCGTAAAGAGATTAGACACAAAGGATCCAAATGGCTCCACGGTTGCACCTGTATCCACCGATTAAGTCATTTACACAAATGTTAATTACCAAAAGCTTCAAATCCCCAATGCCATAATCAGCTAAAAACTCTGATTTAATCGTTCTATCATGAGGGTAAAATGTCAAACAATTGTTTCTGAAAACCAAACTAAATCAGGCCATTTATGGAAGGCCAAAATATAAAATTTTAAGCCTGCATACAAAAATCTTTCCAGTTTGCTATGGTTTGCAACATTCGAAATCGTTTCTTAATTCGTCACGTAAAGCATTATTTAGCATTTTCATATCCATCTCTATTGAAAGTTTACATGGATCAATCAAAATGAAGAACCGGGAACAACCATTCAATAAGGTAACATAAAAATTACCTCTTAAACTTTCTATAGATTGAACGATTTCGCGCAATTCATCGATGATTTTAAACCGTGTAACCCAGTCTTCTTGCAAGGGCTTGATCACTTCAAGTATTTCCTTGAGAGTTGACTCTACTTGTCTATACGAATTCATCTTCGTTTTCTATATAAATATCACTTATATAACACAAATTTGCCCCTTTTAGAAACCCAAAATTCATAAATCATATCAACAAAAAGGAAAAAAAATATTCTAAAAAAAAGGAGCAAACCTTTATTCTGTCCACTTCACTCAACAAGTAACAGCCCAAAGAAACTCCAATAAATGTAAATATTCTCTCAGGCATTTAAACAAACAATAAAAAGGCATTTAAGCATAATTTACCTTGAAAGAACAATAAAGGTCAACTCCCTTCTGCCCTCGGATTTTGGAGACACTGCACCATTAAAAATACAATAGGCATATGTAAAAGAAGAAACCCAGAAAAATTTCACATTGCCCTTCATAAAAACAACGATACCAATCTTATTTTTGCTGGGTACATTACAGTTCTAAAGAAATAAGAGGGGGGAGTAGGGTTTTCTTTTATTTTTATTTTAGTTGATATACTTGTGGAAGGGGTAATCTTTATCTTTATTTACCTTTATGGAATAAAAGAATGATTCGGAATTTAGGAGGAAAGGGGCGAGGAAAAAGAGGGAACAAAGACAGAAACAGATAGTCAAGTGGGTAACCCTTGAGGGAAAAAAAGATGATAATTGACGATGACAAGAGAAAAAAAGTGTAAAATACATAGTTGGTAACTAATGTTTGGGTATCTTTCTTTTATCCCACTGATGTTTCAAAAGTTACAAAGCAGTCACTAATATTATCGATTGGTAACAAACTGGTTACTCAGCATTAAAAGACATTAAGAGGCGTGACAGAAAACATAACTGGCACGTTAAGTGTTTACATGGAATTAGCTGGGTGACTAGTTTGCTACCAATCGATAATGTTAAAAGACGTTAAGAGGTGTGACGGGAAACATACATGGCATGATAGTGCTTACGTGGAATTAGTTGAGTGACCAGTTTATTTTATGGTAAGCACTTAAAGTTTCAGCTATGTTTTTCGTCATACCTCTTAACGTATGTTAACGTTGAATGATCAGTTTGTTATCAATTGATAACGTTGGTGATCGATTTGTAACTTTTGAGACATCAGTAGGGAAAGAAAAGCTACCCCAAACATTACAGACCAACTGTGTAGTTTACCCCAAAAACACACTTTGGTTGACCTTTTGGTCTTCCTTGGATTTATTTTATTTTGTCTAGTTTCCATGGGCTTTTTTCTTGAGAAATATTGGGCTTTTGTAAGAAGAAAAAAGTGAAGTTGATTGAATTTATTAAAATTCTTAATTGTCTACTTTAGTTTTAATTTATTTGATATTTAGTTTTATAATAATTTTTTACTTTATTTTGATGGAATAATTTGAGTAATTTTGTATTAGTAATGTCATTTTTTTATTATTTATTGAAATAGTATAAAGAAAAATATTTTGAAAAATATCTTTGTTGATGTGCCGACCTGACTCGACATAAAATTTTATAAAAAATCATGTTATTAGTTAAAATAAGGTTCTAATTAAAAAATACTTAAAACGATATTATTGTAATTAATCCGAGTATATAAGGAATAATTATAATATTATCCTCGATCGATTTATTTTATACTAAAATCAAATTTGATCTGACCTAACCTCAACTATTTAAGACAATTAAATTGATTTGATCTTAGTAAAACACTTTCTTTTCTCTCTATAATCTTTCTTCCTCTCTTCTCCGGGTAGAATTGAAATAAGATTTAGAGTAGGACCGTCCAATAAGAAGTGTAGAATGTGATCCGTCACAAGAGCCCAAAATTTAGGAGTCTTACACGTGAATGCCATTTAGGTCCGTCTATGTATAATATTTGTGCCTTAAAGATATTTATATTCGAAAGAAAAAATAAACTTTTCATCTGATTCTCGAGAAAATACCAGAAAAAGTTGTAAACGAGGATTTTGACAATATCTTTAATCATTTTTCATGATGAATTTTGATAAAAGAAACCTTATAGATTCCTAGTAATTTCAAATTTGACAATTTAATTTTTATTATAAAATAATTCAAGGGCCTCGTTTTAATAATAACACATGACATTCACATGTTTTGGGACATGCCTCATTTACAGTTGATAAAGAACTTAAGTGATCATCGATATTTAAAAAATCACCACTTTAATCATATCAGTAGTTAAAGGAATCGTTGTTGTTCCTAAATATTACGAGTTCGAGCACCAACAACTACGGTAAGTGATCATCGATATTTAAAAAATCACCACTTTAATCATATCAGTAGTTAAAGGAATCGTTGTTGTTCCTAAATATTACGAGTTCGAGCACCAACAACTACGGCAAAGTGATTGAACATTCATTGTCAAATAGTTAAAAGTATTTATAACAGATATCACTTTGTAATCAACTTTTAATTTTATTTAAACATTCACTTAATTTACAAATCCAATCACGCATTCAGATTTTCTTGGTATTCTAAAAAGAATATTACATGTTTAAATATTTTGAATACATAATTTCAAATAATCTAACGTATTTAGTACATAAACTATCAATTTTAATACTTTTTAACACCTAAAGTTTCCATTTTTTCAAACCCATAGTTAATTTTTAATTTTTATTTCATTTTAGTACCTCATTGTTAAAAACTTAACGCCTTTAGCGCCTAAACTATCGATTTTGGTCCATTTTAATACCTAAACTTCAATTTTTTTTCAGAGCTCAACGTTAAATTTTGAACAGATGTACTAAAATGAAATAAAAACGAAACTTTATATATATTTTTTAAAAAATGAAAGTTTAAATATTAAAACTGATAATTTAAATGCTAAACGCGTAACTTACCCAAAAATCTATAATAAAAGTTGACAATTTCTCGAACATATGGTTAAAAACTCTTCGTTGACACCTCTCATATCTCTTTAGATTATAGATTCAGTATTCATTGGATGAAAATATTTTATTTTTTTTCTCTTCATTATAAATTATTTAAAAAAAAAATCTATAACAAAAAAATGTCATACACTTGATTAGTTGGCAACAAAAATTGACAGGAAATAATATTATTGAAGGAATTTGATACTGCAGATATTTGGATTAGATTCTACAAAATATTCCCCCCCACAATAATTCGCATGCATCATCGTTTAGTCTATTTATGTTGTCTAAGATTCCTCACTCAAATGCAGCATATTTGAATTGTAAAAAAAAATGTACGAGGAAATACAACCTAATATAAAGTTAAGGAAATGTGCTACCGAAAATGTTAATATTTTTTAATATTTTTGGTAGAACGTTACCTAAAATGTTATTTTTTCTATCGAAAATATTAATATTGGACGCTACCTAAAATGTTATTTTTTTTACCGAAAATGTTAATATCAGAAATATTCATTTTAGGTAACGAAACTAACATTTTTGTTGGAAAAAATAACATTTTAAGTAACGTTCTACCAGAAATGTTCAAAAAATATGAACGTTTCTGGTAACGCCTTTTTTTAGGCTTATATTAGGTTGTCGTACCAGATAACTAACCACAAAAATGTTGTCTCTACAATATTAGCATTCCTTCCATCTATTTCAATTTTCAAATATATATTTTTCAATTATATATTTGATTTTAAGTTTTAAGTATTATTCCTTGTAAATTATAGTTGTTATCAGGGTAGAGTCAGAAATTTATTATAGCGGAGGTTAAAGTATTTTTATTTTTCATAAATACAATTTTTTAAACAAGGCGATTGAATAAAATTTTCTTTATTTATTTTGCAAAATATATATATTTAATATTAATGAATACTTAAAAAAATAATTGGCGAGGGTCAAGGCTTCCCTTGGGCCCCATGATGATCCGCCCATAGTTGTTATCCCTAGATGTTTTGGATTCGAACACCAATGATTGTAGGGTAAACACCCTAGATTAATTAGGAAAAAAAGTTTTGTTAAACTCTAGTTTTAGATTTTAAATAATATTTTTGATTTATTTTTTTTTGGTGATTTTAATATCAATTTCAGTTTTGTTTAATGATAATTATTTAATATATTAATAATATTTTTTAAAAATAATTTTAATTAATAATCAAGTGTTTTTAATTATATTTTAGGGAAAACTATACAAATGATCTTCGACGATAGGTGTTCTCGTGTTGTTTTATTAAATATCTCGATTGTTAAAAGTTATAAAATGATCCCTAATTATATGATGTTGTTTTGTTATATTAATAATATTTTTATTTCCGTAAATAATTTTAATTAATTAACGTGTAATTTTAATTACTTTTTAGGGTAAAGTATAGAGATGGTCTCCATTTTCAGAGATTTGTATGAAGGGATTTATTTGCAGGAATAACTTCCCATTATAGACGCGAATATGAAGACTGCATATGAAGACTGTTCAACTATGTATTTATTTATTTATTTCTTTATTTATACATGCATTGTATTTTATCTTTATTTTTAAATTTTTTTTACTGCCGGAGGTCTTCCACGGAAGTTGCTCTCAACCTGGCGTTGGGGACAGCCTACTACCCTACCTCCCCTAACCCCATTACATATAGGAATATGATTTTGTTGTTGTTGTTGTTGTTGTTGTTGTTGTTGTTGTTGTTGTTGTTGTATAGAGATGGTCTCCAATTATAGAGTCTTGCTTTATTGAGTCCTTTGACTATTAAAAGTTATAAAATGATCCCGACTATATGATGTTGATTTGTTGATTCTCTTACTGTTAAAAGTCAGCTGATTATTCATTATGCTATAAATTTGTCATTTTCTTTTAAAAAATTGATGGCATTTTGGGTTGGATGTGAATATGTTGTATGAGATATGATAAAATATGGTCATAGAATCTCAAACGACTATCATATCTCAGACAACAAAATAACATCAAACTCATATTGCCGTTATTTTTTTTTAACGAAAAATGACGAGTTTGAAACATAATGAATAATCGGTGATCATTTTCTAACTTTTAATAATTGAGGGATTTAATAAAGCAATATCTTATAATCGATTGATCATTTTATAAATTTTAATGATCGATAAATTCAATAAAATAATATCATACAATGGATGGTTATTTGTATATTTTACTTTTAAATAAATAAGATGTTTGACGATAAAATAATTAAATTTGTGAAATTAAGAAATTTTAACTTTTTATGTATCAAATAATATTTATTGTAAAATTATTGAGATTTCAAAATTATTTAAAAAACTAAATTAAAAATTAAGAAAAAAAAGTAAGTGGCCGACCAAGGATACGTCTCGGCAATCGTACAAGCCATGTGAGTGGGTCATCTAATTATATTATACCATAATATTAAGATATTTTATATTTTGGATATAATTTCAATATTACTGTTTTATAATTATTTATTTAATTACAATAATATTAAGTAACGAAACTCTATGAATTTATTTTTATTTTTATTTAATATAACTATAAAATATTGACAGAGGTATTATAATTACTCTTAAATATATAGAGATTAATTATTAAATTAAATATGTTTATTTTAATTCAAATATATTCTATATTATTTTAAAAAAAATTGATTTAATCTACTCGAATATAAAATAATATCATATTTTATTTTAGAAAATTAGTTTAATCCAACTCAAACTTAAATATAAAAATATTAACATTCTAGATCAAATCGAGTAAATTTATTAAATTCAGATCAAATATTTGTTTGAGAGAGATTCATTAGAGTCGATTGCATTACATATCCCTAAATTATAATTATAATTCTCCATTAGTCCTTAAACTTTTGAATATTTTAATTTCATTCTTGAACTAACTTTTTTAAATTAATCCTTAAAGTTTGGAATATTTTAATTTCATCCCCAAACTATAACCCTTATTTTACATTAGTTCCCAAACTTCTAAATATTCCATTTTCATTCTCAATTTCATATAAATGTGTAATCACTTTCAATTATAATATAACATAAATTCTATTTTTTTCAAACATATATAATATGGTTTCGCCTAACAATGTTTTAACACGAGATGTGATTAGTATATACATATAATTTAGGATGGAATTGAATTGTTGAAAAAGTTTGGGTAATTAAGGACAGTTTGGGGGTGAAACAAATCATCCCATAGATCAAATATTAATAATTAAATTAAATATATATTTAAAAATAATATTGGGTGAACACCTTATTAATGTGGTCTTTTTGGGATTTGATGCGTATAGAATTAAAAAAGGTCGAATTCAAATAACTAAACATAGTAGTATTTTAAAAGTACAATAAATGATTTAATTAAATTTAATTAAAGCTTAATTTCGTCAAAAATGGACTCCCATTGTCGTTGAATGACATTTAAAGCTATAGATAGCATGAGACTCTAACTTTACGAGTTTCGATCCGATTAAATTAGGTGGATTTTAAAAAGAAATAGATTTAAATTAATTTTTTTAAATATAATATTCGAGTTAAATCAGATACAGATTTAAGATAAAAAATATTCAACTCAATCTGATCCAAAAAATATAATTTTATCTTACATATTTAAAAATAATTACTATAATAATTTTATATATATTATTTTTTAATTAAATCATTATTATTTTTCAATAAAAAATAATATTTTTTTATTATTTTTAATCTAATTAAATTTAATTTAGTTTTTATCTTAAAAATTAAATCAAATTCAAATTGAATAAAATATATATATTTTTTCGAATTAGATGACTAATATAAAATTTCCGATCCAACCAACTATTACTCATCCCGATTTAAAGCTAATCAAACACAAATTAACTGTATCCAGTACGATCTTATCTATAAAATAGTCAAAAAAACCAACCAAAATATTTTAATAATATATAGTTTTTGCAAAAAATATCTTATAATTTCCATCAAATTGAGAAGAAAAATAAAGGGGAAAATACACTATTTCCTTTCACTTAACAAATTTTTGTCAGTTAAAAAATTAGTCTCTAAAATCCTAATTATTTATTTATTAAAATTTTTATTTATAGTTATTGATTTTTCTTCAAATCAACAACGACAACGCTGACATTATCTGTGCTATGTCTAGCCAGGGCCAACTTGGTTAACAAAATGGAGGCATCCCAACACGCCTTGTCGGAACTCTCGGCTAAGCCGCTACCGCGAACCGCCGTATCACTATACGGTAACATCGGTGGCGACGCTGGCTTTTGAACGCGTAAACACATACGCGCCACCCCACAAGCTGTTTCGTTTGTCACCACGTCCCACAAGCCGTCGCTTCCCAATATTAAACATTCATCTTCGCTAGTTCTCTCCGTTATTGTCACCTCCGGTTCCGGTATGACGAACGGCTTTAAGTAATTATCGCCTAATAATTAAAAACAGAACAAAATTATATTAAAAATTAAAAATTAAAAGGAAATTAGTTGATTAATTATTAATTAATTTTTTGAAAATTACCAATTGCTCTAGACATGGCTAATACACCAAGAACTCGAGGGCCATCCCAGTAAATAACTCGGCCACCGGCTTCTTCGATTCGGAGCAGCTCGTCGGGTCGATCCGGCTGCGAAAATTGAAAATATCAAAAATTAAATTTATGATTGATTTATGGTTTTTTTTAATTTAATGTTTTAAGCTTAAATTAATAAAATAATTTAATACCTTGTGATCGTCGGAGAGGGGTTGAGCGGTGCCGTTTCGGCACAAGACGGCGCGGGAATCACCGCAGTTGGCAATGATTATGTAATCCGGCGTGACAAGAGCTACGACGGCAGTGGATCCAACGGCGTCGCACTGAGGAGTTTGGAGTTCGCATCGGCAGTTCGAATTCTCTTCGGCTACAACCATCGATTCTTGAACTTCCTTATCCATCTTGTCAAAGCTTCGCTCCATCGTTAGCTTCCAGTCCACCGTCTTTCCTCCGCCGCAAGCTTCGATTTCTTCTTTAACAATCTCATGAAACCGATCTCTACACTTCATCGCAACCTAAAAAGATGACAGAAATCCCAATATAATTAAAACTAGATTCAAATTTTACGTAATAATTTCAAGTCAAAATGAGTTTCGTTTCGTTCAGTACATGAGAGCAGCCATGGCCGTCGAACACGCCGAAAAAGTGAATATCCGACGAGATTTCAGCTTCACAGCTGAGTTTACACAACGACGGATGAATCGAAGCGGCGTCTTCCATATCCCGCCGCCTTCCACAAACAGAAGTCAAACCGAACTTCGTCAGCTCCGTTCCGTTCTCTAAACCTACTATTCCATTACAATTTAAGCTTCCATTAATTTCATGATCTCCGTTAAGCTCGTTAGCATCCGAGTTTTCAATCGCGTAACGACTGTCACGAGGAGGAGAAACCGGGAGTACGAGATCGAGATCCAGCTTCTGACGTTTTCTACTGTTCTCCGATTGCATTGAAGCGGCGGCGTCGGAGATTAATTTAAATGGAAGAATGTCCATTCTCCGGCGACGAGAAGATTTCGAGGTTTGATCGACCGCGGCGGCCGATTCACTCTCGGCAACTACTCCACAGCAAACTCCGGCCATTTCAGAGATTTTTTTAACAAATTTTGTTTCAAAATCGAGAGATTTTTTTCTCTTTATAGAGATTTGAATTGGAAATGAAAGGACCCATGAAAATGGCGGATAATAGACCTTTTGTAGTGAGAGATTCGGAGAACTCTAATATGCACCTAGGGGCCACAATCGGAGTACGGGCAGGCTGCCCGTCGCTGTCGGGCAGGATGGACCTGACACGTACAGTTGGTGTGACGACGATTTAGTGAATTTGGAGAAGTCGATCTTCCACCGTCCGTTTTATCGGATCTGTTGAAATAATGACACGTGGTGGTGGCCTTGGAAGGTGGGAGTGGGGTAACGTGGGCCAATGATTGGGAGACACGAGCAGTTGAAGGACCTTACTTTACTGACACGCATGTGGTTCCGTGGGGACGACCCCGCTTTGTTTTTCTGTTTATTGCTTTTTATTTATTTTTCGGTAAAAATCAATTATAGGTCCCTGTATTGTTAATAAAAACAATATAACTATTCTATTATTTTTTCTCAATGTAACCCTCCGACTTAAAAAATAAATTTAATTTAATCCTTTGACTAATTTTTTGTTTATGACTCTTACGGTGATGATGTAACATTTCATTGTATTGACATGACAGTTTACTATACTAGCATGACAGTCTATTGTAGTTGATAATGTGATGTATAACATGACAAATAGCTAAATTGATAACTCAATCACAACATATGAATTACAATCACATCAGCACCGTAGACCGTCATGTCAATATCATAATAGTTAATAATAAAAAAATGTTGATCAAATGACTATATTAAATTTATTTTCTGAGTTAGAAGTCTACATTGAGAGAAAATAATACGAATGTCACATTATATTTTTCTCAAAAAGTACAAGGACATCTAATGTCATTTTATCTTATGTTTTAATAAATTTATAAAACAAAATAAATTTTTTAAGATATAAACACGTGGCGAGATCGTGTAATACGATAGCGAATAAGGGAAACAAATCTAAAACAGGGAGGCATTTAATAAGATTTTAGCTACGTAAACAGAATGAATAATTGTGGGACCACATGTCGAGGGTTCCTCACTCGATTAACTCCCAGCATAATATCTGAAGCCTTGATTTTCACCCCAGATATTCGACACGTGTCTTTAGCTGATCAGTATCGGACGGTGCACAACGCACCCCGTGCTTCTCGCTTTAACACGTTCCTAGCATTGCACTGTGAAGAATTTTATAATTTGCCGTCCTTCTCTGCAATTTGAACACGTAGCTTAATTTCCAATTACCTCCCCAATACTTTCCTAAATTTCAAAATCAGCCCTCATCCTTTTAATACAACACCTAAATCAACTAAACTCCTCATTCAGAAATTATACTCTTTCCGTCCCATTAACTATGTCCCAATGTTAATAAAATATACATTTTTAAGAGATAAAATTAGTCATATATAAAATAAGAGAGATGATAAAATTATATCTCAAAAAGTGATTTATAGATTTGATAAATTTATTTTGATAGATATAAAAAATACGAGTAAGAAAAAATATAAATATTATTATTTATTATATTTTTTTAATAAGTTAATTTGAATGAGACACTTTTAAAACTTAAAATATATTATTTTTTAACAAATTCACGATATCAAATTCATTAAAATATAAACCTAATAAAATTAGATTCACGAGTCGATTAGATAAAAGCCCACTTGAAAAAACTAAAAACTCAAAAAAAAACTAATTGTATTATTCTTTTTCTGCCCATGCAATCAAAAACTGATTATTTTTTTTGTACTAACAACAACAAGCAATATTCTCTTTGTAGCAGGTTTGAGAAAGCATCTGCGTCAACATGAATTAACGGATTTATTGGTCAACGACAAAATGTTGGTCAAAGAATCGTATTGAATTTTCTTTGAGATGAAGGACCACATTAAGAGAAAAATAAATCAAGATTACATTAGTTTTTTAAAAAGTACAAGGACTTCATGTATACTTTTATATTTAAGTAAGTTACGGATCCACGAGCAGGATAACAACCAGTGAAATGGTGCCACGTATAAGGACAGGCTTGATTTGAAGAATTTTATAATCTACTGTCCTTATTCGCAATTTGAACACGAAGCATAATTTCCCACTACATCCCCTACACTTTTCGAATTTTCACAATTGCTCCCTTGTACTTTATTATTTGGGTAAACAACGTTATGTATGGTAGACTATGCTAGGGTAAATTTTAAATAAATAACTATTAAAATTGCGTGTAAATAAAACTTTGTTTTTTTTACAGGAATTGAATGCCTCGTTAAAAACCCCCTTCTTGATTAAAGGAGCTTGTAGAAAAACTTCTTAATCAGCGGAATGAGGAAAAGAGTGCCTAAATATTTCATTAACCAAAAGAAATTACATAAGATACAACCAGATAAACACCCCCAACATAACCAAAAAACCAAAAAAGAACCGAAGACAACCTTATACAACATAACTAGCTTAGCCTAAACCAACTAAGCTACTAACACAGTATAAATTTTGGCTGAGCTATTAACCAATTTAGCAACAACAATGAAGACTTAACGGCTAAACATTTCATGGAATACAACAGAAAACAGTACAACCAAATGCCTGAAACAATCAACCAATCCCCTCCTTAATTAACTTGTCTACCTCCATATTACAAGACCTAGGAAAAAGCTCCAGCAAAGTTGGAGGGTCTGGATATGTAAATAAAACTTTGCCACTGATATATTAATGACTAGGGTAAATTGTACCATTAGTTACTAAATTTTAGGTTGTATATCGATTTAAATTTTAAACAATGTTTTTTTTAAAAAACACTTCAATTTTAGAATTGAACTTTAATATTTATTTCGATTAGAGCATTGAATTGTTAAGCCATTAACAACCGAATGACGTGATAGTTTGGTGCTAACGTGGAAGTTGACATATATCGATGTGGAAGCTATTCTTTTGTATAATCCTTTTCAACAAATTTTGAAGTTTTTCATCATTTGATTGTCGCAAAAATTATCATTCTTCGATATCTCTTGGGTCCATCGTAAGCAAAGATAAAGTCATCTCATTAGTCTATACTCCTACCACTTTACCGATTTAGTTTTTTTTCTTCAAAATCTCTTTAAAATTTACGAAATTAAACGCGAAAAAACATTACCATATTTTTAAGGTTTGGGGATTTCTCACAATTGATGACGGTTAACGATGGGCATGGGTTAACCGATAACATCAACGCAATCTTTCTTTTACTTTTGCAGAAAATCTGAAAGAAACAACCACGTTGTCACTCCATTAATGATTTAACGATCTAATGCCCTCATTGAAACAAAAACTAAAATTTAATATTAAAGACGAAATATTTTAAAATTTAATGCTAAAATCGATACACAAACTGAAGTTTAGTGAGTAATATTATAGTTTACCCTAACAATTAATCATAGTATTTTTCAACTTTCATTTGTGTTTTTGGCATAAAAAAAAGGAATTGATTGCAAGAATTTAAAAGCTACCAATGGTTTCTCGACAACGAATTATAAAATCCCCAAAGAAAAAATTATTACAAAAAAGGACCTAACCACGTGAAGTAAAAATCTCATCGTACACGTGTAGGGATAAGATTAGAAGTATGACTTAAAAGTAATGTTTTAATTATACAACGAACGACGTGGAAATAGACTCATTAGAGTCGTACGAAAAAATAATAATAAAAGTTAGGGCAGGATTGTAGCCAATGAGATTGTGCCACGTATATTGTTTGGGCTGGCAGGCATGGGTTGCTGACCTAACCCTTTTGAAAACTACTGCGTCTGATCCGATCATTCTTATTAATTATGGATTCCTTCTATTTTCGACAATCATTTAACTATTTAATTAGTTTTAATATAATCATTTATCGTTCATATTTATCGAAAGTGTTAACGTGATAATTTATAAAATTAATATAATTATATATTTAGTCATCAACAGTTACATATTCTATCAAATTCAGCCTTATTTTTAATTTAATTCAAAAATATAAACCATCTAACAGTGAAATATTACGCGTCAATATGTTATTTTGACACATTTAATACCGACACGTATCATTGTTTGGTTGAAGATAAAAAAATGAGGGGAATTGAACCAAGGACCTCAAGCATGGATGGATAGTTTGTTTTTTTAATTAAATTAAAACTAAGACTAAATTGATAGAATATGTAACTATTGAGGACAATGTATATAATTATACCAATTTTATTAATTGTTACATCAACTCTTCCGTCAAATATTAATGACAAGTGGCTATATTGAAATTAATTAAATAGTTAAGTAATTATATTAATGAGCTTTTGAAAATAATAATCATATTGACACCAACCCTATAACTAGGTAGTCATTCATAAAGTTTACCAAAAATATTGGATAAACTACGTATTTAGTATAAAAATCATCAATTTTGGTATATTTTAATAGTTAAACTTTATTTTTTTCCAAACCATACATATCGTTTAGCTTTTATTTCATTTAAGTATCATCCGTTAAAAACTTAACATGTTTAGTACCTACACTATCAATTTTGATCCGTTTTAGTACATAAACTTTCATTTAAAAAAAAAAAAACTTAACGTTAAACTTTGAACAGATACTAAAATAAAACAAAAACTAAATTTTATGTTTGATTTTGAAAAATTAAAAGTTTATGTACTAAAACAAACTAAAACTGATAGTCTAAATACTAAACATGGAATTTACCGAAAAAATTACACGTAAATTCGTCTTATTGATTCGTACGGATTATAAAGATCCAATTAAAAGATATGAAAATTTGTAGGATCAAATTGAAATGTTAGATTAAGTGGAAGACAAAATTACCTCCAAGTTTACGCTATGTGGTCCTCCACGTTCACTAAACTCTTCAAATTGAAATGTACTAAAATTGAAATGTTAAATGATTTTATTTATTTATTTTAACTCCAAAATAAATTTGAAATCGAAATTATTTCAACATATACTGTCTTGAGGACCCGAGT